CATCGTGTGGTGTTGGTTCTAGCTTTGATGACACAGCGCCCGCGTTCTCCTCCTCCTCCTCCTCCATGACTATGACCTCCTTCTCTTCCCCCTTCTCCCCCATTCCATCAGCGCCGCGCACACTATTTTTAAACATGTGTAACCATTTCGGGGATTGAGGGCGGGTCGTTTTCGAAATGTGGTTCTCGCTTTAGCAACGCGCGCATTCGTTTAAACAAATTCTAAGAGCTTCACGGATTGAGGACGGGTCGTTTTCAAAGTGTGGTTATCGCCTTTAGCGCCGCGCACATTTGTTTCAACAAATTTTAACTTTCGCGGATTGAGGGCGGGTCGTTTTCAAAATGTGGTTCTCGCTTTTGCGCCGCGCATATAGATATATATATATATATATATATATATATATATATTATCATTTTTTTTCAATATATATATATATATATATATATATATATATATATATAACGGCGCACCGGGTCCGGGGGCCCGGGGCCGGGACCTCGACCACAAATGTGGGCCCCGGGGGGCCCGGAGGCTCGTCGGACCGCCGGACGCCGTCCAAGATCGTTCGCAGGCGGCTTCGGAACGCGCTCCGATGGCTCCAGATGCCTTCCAAGACGCCTGTCATGACACCAAGAAGGTCCCAGAAGCCTCCAAAACGCTCCGAGAGGCAGCCCAAGAGAGGCCCAAGAAGCAAAAATCGTGCCATTCCTATGGGGAAACGTATATTTTTCGCATGTTCGCCTCTTGGGCTTTCACCGCGTCCAAGACGGCCCAAGAGGCGCCCAAGACCGCCCCAAGACGGCCCAAGAAGCTTCCAAGAGGGCCCCAGGACAGCCCAAGAGGGCCCCAAGACGGCCCAAGAGGCGCCCAAGATGGCCCAAGAGGGCCCCAAGACGGGCCCAAGAGGGGGCCCAGAGGGGGACCACGAACCGCAAGCTCGAGCCTTCCGCCCCAAGAGGCCGCCAGGAGGCCCCAAGGAGGCCCCTCAAGAGGCCCCAGGAGACCCCCAAGAGGCCCAAAGGAGGCCCCGAGAAGCCCCAAATCGGCCCCCAAAATGCTTCGAACCTGCTTCCAGGAGGCCCCCGACAGGTTCAGAGGCTCCCGAGAAGCTACGTCAAACTCCCAGCGAGCGGCCGGACGAGGCCCCCCACAAAATCACAAGAGGGTTCCAGTATTTGTATCCTTCAGCGCTCTCTGGCCTTCTTCCCCTGCCCCCTTCCCTGCGACTTTCGTTGACTCAAGCTCGCCTCCTAGCTAGAACCTAAGCGCGCGCGAAGCGCGCGCGTGGTTCTAGTGTATATATATATATATATATATATATATATATATATATTATATATATATATATATATATATATGGTACCCCCCTTGGAGACCTACCTCACTATCGTCGCATTCCTTCTTTCCTTCTCCTTTGTCGACACAAAAGGAAGTTGATGAGGAGGAGGCGGAGGAGGAGGAGGAGGAGGATGGGGAGAAGAAGCGTGAGAGGACTCGGCTCTCGCTTGAGAGGTCCCAAAAAACGCGAAGAGGAAGAGGCTCCCGCCTGAGAGGTCCCCAAAAAACATGAAGAGGAAGAGGCTACCGCCTGAGAGGTCCCCCAAAAACGCGAAGAGGAAGAGGCTCCCGCCTGAGAGGTCCCAAAAAGACGTGAGGAGGAATAGGTTCCCGCCTGGGAGGTTCCAAAAAAACGCGAAGAGGACGAGGCTCCCGCCTGAGAGATCCCAAAGAAACGTGAGGAGGAAGAGGCTCCCGCCTGAGAGGCCCCAGGAAAACAGAGTCAAATGGAGGCTCCCGCCTGAGAGGTCCCCAAAAAACCATCTTGGGAGGAGGCTTCCGCCTGAGAGGTCCCAGAAAAAAAAAAAAACTAAACAGGAGGAGCCTCCCCCCTTAGAGGTTCCAAAAATAACCAGAGAAACCCAAACACCATGCGTCTCATCCTTGTAACTGTTTCAAAAAAAAAATCCAGAGGGGAACGGGCGCCGCTGCCCCAGATGCATTGACGAGGGCCGCCATCTCCATTGGAACTTTGGGTTTTTTGTTTTTGGGGACAGTTACAGGGATGAGAGGCATGGTGTTTGGGTTTCTTTGGGTTTTTCTGGGACCTCTCAGGCGGGAGCCTCCTCTTGTTTGTTTTTTTTGGGGACCTCTCAGGCGGTAACCCCCTCCCAAAAGAGTTGTTGTGGGACCTCTCAGGCGGGAGCATCTTCCCCTGCGCGTTGTTTTGGGACCTCTCAGGCGGGAGCCTCTTCCTCCTCACGTTGTTTTGGGACCTCTCAGGCGGGAGCCTCTTCCTCCTCGCGTTTTTTGGGGACCTCTCAGGCGGGAGCCTCTTCATCCTGGCGTTTGTTGGGGGCCTCTCAGGCGGGAGCCTCTTCCCCCTCACATGTTTTGGGGACCTCTCATGCAAGACCCCCATGGACATGGCGAAGACGAGGATGACGAACATTATGGTGATGATGGCGGAGAAGATGAATATGAAGATGGTACTGCTGATGATGTTGATGTTGCTGATGACTATGGTGATGATGATTGTGTTGATGATGATGCTGATGTTGGTGATGGTGATGATGACGATGGTGATGATGATGATGAGGATTACGAACATGATGATGATTATGATGATTATGATGATGGTGATGTTGACGATGATGATGAGGAGAGTTACGATCATTATGTGAAGGAGGAGGAGCAGCAGCAGGAGGAGGAGGAGGAGGAGGAGAGAGAGGGAGGAGGAGTCAGGAGTCAGGAGTCCCAGGACGAAGTCCAGTCGAGAGGATGGAGGAGGACAAGGAGGAGCAGTTTTTTTTTGTTGTTGGACCTTTCAGGCGAAGTTGCCCCCTCAGAGACTGTGATTACGTCGGGGGCGTTGGTTAAGGAATGTGTTCAGGAGGCATCAGACCTTGGGGGATTCCTCATCCGATGAGGGCGGTGGCGACATCCACGGCCCATCCACAATTGGAGCTCCGCCGGCTTCCAAACCTTGGATTTCTTATCACATGATTCCTTATCCAATGCCCTCGCCGTAGTAACCTCTCTGGCGGGAGCCTCCTCATCAGAGAGTTGTTTGGGGAATCTCTCAGGCGGGAGCCTCCTCTTCAGTTATTGTTGGGATCTATCAGGCGGGAGCCTCTTCTTTAGCTATTGTATGGGAGTGACGACCAGGAGGCGGAGGAGGAGGAGAAGGAGGAGGAGGAGGAGGAGGATAAGGAGGAGGAGGATCCCCCCACCCCCGCCCGCCACCGCCCACAGGCAGGCCACCCGCGCGCGGGCTGATGGAGGAGAGGCTACGACAGGAGGATAACCAGCAGGGCGCACTACTTTGGAGTGTAATACTCAAATAGATCAGAGCGCAATGCTCTTCAAACGGGTGTAATACCCAGGGTGTAGTCAAAGGCGCAATGCTTGTTTAGGATGAGGATGATAGGGGAGGAGCCACAGCAGGGCGTGATGCCCTTGCTCTTAGCAGTAGGGGAGACGAGCGCAAGGCTCTAGGAGGATGAGCGTAATACTCGTAAAACGCTGGGTGCAATGCTCTTCACAGGGGCGTAATGACCAGGGGCGCGATTAAGGCGCAACGCCTGCTTTCTTCAGCGTAATGCTGATTTTCTTTGGGCGCAATGCTCTTCATGTGGGCGCAATGCCTAATGTACCCATTGAGGCGCAACGCCTGCTTCGAGCGCAACGCTCAACGGGTAGTAGCATTCGCTTTCTTTCTCCTGACCCACAATAGTGTTTTCTTCTTTGCTACCCCCCCTCCCCCCCCCCCCCGCCCCTCTCTCATCGTCGCGTTGGGTCCGATGCGCCCCCTCCCCGCCCGCGAGATCTTTGATTCGTTCGGCCAAACGAGACAGGGCGCGCCCGTCCATCATGGCCGCCAGCGTCTCTACAATCAGCGCGCGCGCACAAACGCACGCACGCGCGCGCGAGCGCGCTTTTTCCTTCGGCGGCCAGGAGGACGCTCCGTAGCGAAGCAGCGCGGGCACCGCACGCAACAAATGGTCGAGTCGCGCGTGTCATTCGTCGTTTATTTTAATATAAAAAAACGTGCGATCTCATTAACGATTTCGGTTTATCGCGGAACATTTGTTCCCTTCGGCAAAGCGACCAAGATCGCAGCCCGCCCGCGCGCGTGCGCCGCGGACACACGCACTCATGTACACACGCGCACGCACACGCGCACACACGCGCACGCACACACACGCACGCACGCACACACGCACGCGCGCACGCACGCACGCACATGCGCACGCACACACAAGCACAATACATATGTATAAGTAGTTGTCGGTTGGGACACATCACGATGGCTCCACTGCGTTCCACCTGCCCCGCGAAACCTTGGATTTCTTTTGCAAAAACATGCGCGGGGAAAGCCCGCGCGGCCATCGGGGCCGCTAGGCGCCCATGGCCGGTTCCGCACAACACATGCGTAAGCTGCAGTTGATTTTAACATCATCACGCTGGCTCCAATGTGCTCCTTTTGCGCCGCGAGACCTTGGATTCCTTCGTCCAAACATGCAAGGCGACAGCCCGCGCATGCATATGGGGTGCCAAATCCCCACAGGCAACGCACAACAGTACATGTCTTAGCAGTAGTCGACTGAAAAGCACACGTTGGCTTCAATGCTCTTCTCCTGCCCCGCGAGACCTTGGATTCCTCTGGACAAAAGGACCACGAGAACACCCCGCGCGTGCATCTGGACCGCCAGGAGTCCACAAGCACCGCCAAGCAACGCATGCATAAACCATAAAGATTCGCTTGTCTGTCTCGAGAGACTTTGCATTTTGATTTTGCCAGACGGGCACGGGGGCAGCCTGCGCGCGCATCAGGGCCGCCCGGCGCCCGCAAACAGCATGAACGAAACATCACGTCGGCTCCAATTCGCGCCCCTGCCCAAGCGAGACCTTGGATTTCTTGGGGCGCGCGAGCACGGGGACAACCCTCCTCCGTCGCCCTCGCCCCCCCCCCCCCCCCTCTGATCTCCTTTTCCTCGCAGCGAACGCAGGGGCCGGCAGGGGCTTGCGCCGCGAGCAAGCAAAGTGGAAGCGCACAGTCCCAGAGCTATTGGCGGCGTCTGACGCGGAGATCGTGAACATCCTGCGGGGGGACAAGCTGCTCGTCGATTGGACTGGGGCGACCTGTCCCATCTGCGGGCGCGGCGCGCTCGGGGAGTTAGTCGCCCGCCCGCACAAGGGCAACCGCCTCTTGCGCCGATGCGATGCGAAGTGCTGCCGGAGGCACTTGTCCCCTGTCTATTTGAACCCCATCTTCAGCGAGCACTCGCGCGCCGAGAGCTTGCAGAAGCAGGCAGTGCTTCTACTGGCGAAGCCCGCGGGGACCTCCTACGCGAACGCCCGCGTTTTGTTCGGCGTCAACCGCAAGGCAGTGGAGCGGATCTGGGGTAGCGTCGAGCAGGCGCGGGGGATGCACGTGGAGGACGCGGGGCCGACCATTGAATATAGTGGGTCGAAGGTGTGGGCAGACGTGGGGGCTGACGAGGCGACCTTAGACAAGCCGGACATGACCGACGGGCCCGAGCCTCTGGGAGACCCAACTCACCCCGTCATGTGGGGGCAGTGGTTGGGCATTGTGCAGCGCGGCAGGCCGCGCGCGCTGACACTTACGAGACTGCGCCCCGAGATGGCGGAGAAGCGGGCGCCTGGCCCTGGGGCCGCGCGCAAGGTAGACTGGAAACCCTTGGCGCAGCGCTGGCTGAGAGACCGCGACGTCGTCTTTCACGCTGACTCGGCGCGCTCCTACAAATTACGCGTGCCAAGTGTCATCCACGATTTCGTTGTCCACCAGAAGAAGTACAAGAAAGTCGGCGGCAAGAGGGTGCTGATTCCTCCCAGGCACGTCGAGCTGCAGACGCACGTACTCCCATCGGGCAAGCACCTCAAAGTCAAGAGCGGCACCCAGATCATTGACCGCGCGTGGCGCTTCATCAAGGACCGCCTGCACAGGAGCGCCACCGCCGAGGCAGGCACCAAGCTGCTCGCCACGAAGATCCGCTCGGCCCAGTGCGACTACTGGCGCAAGGACGACGACACGTGGGCCAAGACGGGGGAGATGGTGCAGCTCATCATGCGCGACGTGCTGGTGGCGCGATCGGCCCGCGGGGGGCGTTCTGGGTTAGACAGGGGCAGTGCGACCCATCACGCGGGGGTTCTATGTTGGCACAAGGACGACGACCATTGAGCCAATTCGGTGCGCATAGTGCAACATATTTAGCGCAATGTACAGTATGCATAGTCTGCCGCGGCAGACGTGCGGGGTCGGCTTGGGTTAGTGCGCCTGCACTGTGTGGGGATTATGCCATGGATGCTTTCCGTTGCGTGCTCCTACGGATATCGGTAGGCAGTTCAAAACGAATGCCAATGATGTCTGGAACCCAGACGGGGCGCACTGCTTGCGAACCAATCGTGTCACCGCCACCGCGCCATTGCATATTCTGTGCTACATTGTCATGAACACGGCATCGCGTCATCGCGGGGTTTATCATGAAAGTCTCGTTGGGGTGTTCTTCGGGCTCGATAGTAACCCTTTGGCTCTGACCGATGCTCCGCTCCGGCGTGGGTCATAGTGTTATTCCGATCAAGCCTAAAGGCATATCCAGTTCATCGAACCTGTTTAAATCATATTGGAATATGTTTAGAATCACGTTCGGCTGCCATCGGGATCTCAGCAGCGGCGGGTTTACGGTGCGACAACCAGAAACAAACAAAAACGGTAGGTCCCTAAGGGGGGGGGGGGTAGCACATATATGTATGTGTGTCACGGATTGAGGGCGGGTAGGTTTCACAATGTGTTTCTCGCTTTGGTGCCGCGCACATTCATGCTTAACTATGTGCAAGAACTTCACGGATTGAGGGCGGCTCCTGTGTAAATCGTTGTTCTCGCCGTACCGCCGCGCACATTCGTCTCTAACATTTGCAAGAGCTCCACGGGTACCCATGATCGACGTACCAGAAACGGTGCTTTGGAAGGATTCAGGATTATGCGGGCGCAACATTTATGTTGATTCGTTCTGTTGAAATCCCACAAATGTCACTCTGGCAATCCAGACCGTCAAGACGCAGCAGTCGGGTTGACACGCGGCGTTGACGTCCCGACAAGAATGTTTGAGCACGATTCAGGATATTCAATCTGTTGTCCTCCAGCGAGGCACTTCCCTCAATGGAAATAAACCGATGCAGGGACTTATGAAAAAAAGGAGTTTGGATGGAGGGTTAATTCCAACATCGTTGATGACTCTTGGGTTTCCACTGGTCCTCCTCCTCCTCTTCCTCCTCCTCCTCATACTCCCGTTCCTTCCTCCACCCGTCCCTGCCTGTGCTCCCATTTTGGCACATCACTAACTCACACGGTTCGTGGCCACATAGGGACATCCACCGAAGGCCCCCGTCACAGGGTTCGCAAGGCGGGGCCGCCCCATTTTACACACCACTCACACGGTTCGTAACCCCACAGGGAGTTCCACCAAACCCCAATGGCAGGGTTCGCCGCCTTTTTTTGGCCCAGTCCCCACATGGTTCGTGCCCCCATAGGGAGGTCCACCGAAGGCTCCACTGACACGGTTCGCATGGCGGCGCCGCCCCATTTTGAAATACCCCTCACACGGTTCGTGGCCCCATAGGGATGCGGCTGCACCGAAGGACCTAATGGCAGGGTTCGCGTGGCGGCGCGTCCCCATGTTGGCACACCCGTCACACGCTTCGTGGCCCCATAGAGAGCGCCACCCAAGACGATACCCACGACCACGGTAATCACAGCTGCATGTGGTATGTTTTTTTTTTTTTTTTTTTTTGCCAGGCTATTTTTGCACGCCCCCCACGGATTTGTTAATCACAAGGTGGCATGATGGTCCATTTCGCGTGTGAGCGTCGGCAAAAATTGGGGTCGCATGCGCAGACATTCGCTTGTAAGTTGTCTGTGTAGTAATGTAAACAATTTCGTTTCCAGTGTAGCGTGCCGCGCTGGCGGGCCGCGTAAGACCGCGTATGGTCATTATGTTATCACGATGCGTCGTCGCTCACATTTGGCTTGCCCTGGGCGGCAGTGGCGTTGGCCGCAGCCAGGGCACGATGTGGCACGGGCATGTCGTCGCGGGAACGGCGGCCGTTGTTGCACACTTCCACCGGGGGCGGCAGCAACGCGGGCTGGCCGACAGCAGTTGCGAATGGCTCCACTTATCGAAGAATAAAACCTGCATACGCATATTTTCTGTGAGGTTCGCGCGGGTTTCTCGTATCGGCGCTGGGCCCCATCAGTCGGCGCCTCCGGCGCCGCCCCTCGCGCGTTCGCGCGGCACGGAGGGGGGCCCAGCGCAAATCAAAAAAGTAGGCCCAGCCCTCATGTTTATGGAGTGTTTTGCAAGAGATCCGCGCGGACCTGTAATAGTGGATGTTCATGTAATCTGTATTACCCCGGCGACAGCAGAAGGGGCGAAGGCCGATATTAGTTCCGAACGTATCCAGAGAGCCAAATATGGCGGAGGTTCTGGGCTGGAGGGGGGGTCGGCTTTTGAAACGGTACAGGAGCCAGAGCCTCCTATCATTTGAAAAAAGGCAAGACTCCGGCACGGAGGCGGAAAGTAGGCTCCAGCATCGATCTGAGTCACAACAAAAACAACGCCTCCTGAACGGGGGCGGGGGAGGACCACGGCACGATTCGGTCCTCGTTCGCGGGGTGGCGTCGGCGACCGGTGAGTGCAGCACCATGCAACAGGCCCACGCCGCGAGGGCGGGGAAGTGGAGGTGAAGCTTCGCGGCGGCGGCGGTGGCTGGGCAGCGGCAGCTCGCCGTGTCCTGAGGGAAACGGGTCCTGGACCGGCGCTTCCCCCAGGACTCGCCCCTCGGCCTGAGCTGTTTTGTGGCGGTCGGGGCCCCGCGGAGGGCCCCGCGGGGGCCGAAGACTCGGGGGCGTCCGGCTGTCGCGCGCGCGCGCCGCGCAGGACGTGGAGCTCGCGCCGCCGCCGATGCCAGGCGGCCCTTGGGGGAAGAAAGCGAACTCAGATTCCCAGCATCTCGACACGATTCAAGACGGAGATTTATTCTGGTTTTTCGGCGTCTGGGGGCCCTCGCTGGGCCCCGGGGCCGTCAAGCGGCGACCCGGGACGAACAAGTTGTCGCGGGGAAGTGGTACAAAGCTCTGAATTCTGGGCACCTCCACCCCCCACCCTGTAGGGTGCAACTCCTCGAATGCTAAAGTCGGCATCGGCGCTGGCATACATCCATGGTCGAAAATTGGCCTAACGCCTAACCCAGCCTGATGCCGTCGAATTCCGTTGAAACCAGCTTCATCCGCGGCGTAATCTGAGTTGATCCAGGCCTGATGGTCCCCTGATCGGGCTTATTAGGTTTCGATCGTTCTTGCGAAACTTCCAAGAAGTTCGGGCTCCTGACCGCCTGGCCGCCCTTCCCCCTCTGGGGTTTGGCCAAGAGCTTCGGCCCCCTGTGTTTGACAATGGTCCCCAGAAAGGACGCAGCTTCACCCCCTGGAAAGTGGGGCCCAGGTGGGGGTAGGGGTGCCGGCGGCCGTCATTGGCGGCCAGCGCCCATCCGCCGGAGCGCATGCCGCGAAGAAGAGGGAATGGCATGAGCATACACTTGGATATCGGCATTGACCCCTTTCCCCGGCGCGCCTCCTGCGCCAGGGGCGGCGCCGGAAGCGCCGCCAGGGGGTGTTCAGCGCCGACCCAAGATTACGCTTCAGTCAAACCGCTGAAATACAGACCGCTTTCTGCGAGCCGCGCTCGGCTCGCTGGCCGCCCACTGCCCTTGACGGACCAGGAGGCCCCAGCGTTCGGGTCCTCCTGGCCGTCTCAGGCGGCGGGCTTCAGAGCAGCGGCGGAGGGCCTTGCTCTCGAGACTTCCGTCGCCTGCCCCACCGTTTGCCTCGGGCTGTCCGTGGACTTGAGCTGCTCCTCGCGTCGGTCCTCTCGCTTCTAGGAGTGGCCGTTTGCTGCAGTTTTTGCGGGGCCTGCTGTCTCTCGGGCCTGGCGGTCCGCTGCGCGAGCCCTTTCCTGGCTCGCGTTCGCGGTGCGCTGGGCGCGCCAACCCCAGCGCCCGCGAGGGTAGCTGCTCGGGCCTTGGCCTACGGCCCTGGCCCCAAAGCCGCCTCGCGCGGCACGGCGGCGCCGGCCTTTCGGCCCGCGTCGCCGCTTCGGGGTTCGTCCCGTCGGGTTGGCCTTCGGGCCGCCCTTGTCTTTCAGGACGTATTGTCCCCATGGCAAGGCACGACAGGAACTATTTTGGCATGACGGGGAATAGTTTCAGAGAGCGAGTTTATCGTCGAGCTAGTGTTGCCTCGATGGGTTAGTGGCAACTATTGGGTCTGATCGGTGGTGTCCCTGCGCGTTCCAGCTCTATCTCTTCAGTTTTGGTTCGCACGTGGTCATACGATCTCCTACTACCCAATTGCGCTGAGTTGGTAAGTAGTTTGGTTTGGGAGGAACGCGGAGAATGAGGAGGGGAACGTGGAGTAGGAGGAGGGGGCTGAAACGAACGAGGAAGAGGGACGAGGAGGCGGCTGAAAAAGAAGAGGAGGAGGCCGAGAACGATATATGGGGAGGGTGAGGAGAAGAAGAAGGAGGAGGAGGAAGAAAAGGAGGAGGAGGATTGAATATTGAAGAGTAGGGGGAGGAGGGCCTGTGCAAGCCCAAGGCATACCAGTGATGTTGCAATAGCTCCTCTCTCGAATGACGTTTCCACAGCTCCCTACAATAATGTACTTCCATTACGGAAGTGCCACATTCAAACACAGCCGTATGATAATCCATACTAATGCCAGAACACCGTGCTTAATACAGCAGCAGCCCGAGTGGACGCAACTCTTGCGTTTTGACAATTCCTACCCCAGCACCTTTCCCGAGACTCTCAACACGGCGGATCAAGGTGATTGTTGCGTCTTGGCCATCACAAATCGTGCCAGCACAAACAAAAACATGGGTTTGCAACCGCACGAATTCTTGACATTGCCTCAAACGTTTAAGATGTATGTCCGCAGCGCTAATGCAAAAGGCACATGGTGAAACGAAACCACCCTCCCTCCTTGAAGTTGTTGCAAGTTGGGAAAATCGAATGCGCGTTTTGCTATCGCGAGTTTCACAGTTTGAGATATATTCGCCCTCCATTCGTGATTGCGCTGCAATTTACAAGATGTCTATTCGTGGCGTTTTTGGCGAAGCCACGTCTTCATGCTGCAACCTTTTACATCGAATGTGCGCTGCGCACGGGTCAGAGCCACTGTTTGAAAAGGCCCGCCCTTCATCCGCGATATTGTTGCCCAGTTCAAGTTTCAGGATCATCAGTGGTGAGGATGTGTCAGGCGATACGCTAGTATCACCCTGCCGACACATGTATTGGGGGTGTGACAGCGAGGAGGTATTTATGAGAAAGGGGGATGGAGGAGGACGAGGACGAGCACGACGACGAGGGCGAGGAAGATGATTCAGGAGGCTCCTTCCCGCGCCTCCCCGCCGGTCTGGCTCCCAGGCCAGCCTCTGGACCCCAACGGGCCGAAGACGGTCCACAGGCACGTTGTGATCGCCAGGGCGACGGGCATCCAGCTGGACCCTGCCTCGCGAGGGAGGTGCCCTCCATTGGGGGAAGAGGAGAGGTCAGGGGCAACGTCAGGAAGGGTTAGGCTCAGGAGGGAATGCATGGAGCGCCTCGGTTCCGTTTTTCCGTGTTTCTCGCGCTATCACGGTGATTGTGCATCCCCGCCTGGGGGGGCGGCGAGCCGGCTAGTGGCCCCGAGGCCACGCCAGTTGGGATGGGGATGGGTTCAGCGGTGCTCAGGTGTCGAGGTGGCGCGGCGTGTGGGAGAGTACGGGGAGGTGCGCGCGTGCGCTGCTGCTAACTCCTGATGTCCTCTGTGTGCGCTTCGCCATGAAACGAACCGGTCCCGAGGGAAACGGGTTCTTAGGTTGTCTCTGGTTTTGGTCTCTCTGGGCCTGCACGGGCCCTGGGGTTGTCAGCAGGCGACTCAGGACGAACAGCTGGTCCCTGGGGAAGGCGCGTGGTCCAGGACCCGCTTCCCTTAGGACAAAACGGGTTCATGCCAATCGCCGTCTCCTGAGCGAAAAAAAATCTGTTCCCGTCTTTCGCAGAGGAAGTGGGGCGGCACCACCACCAGAGGGGGCAGCCTTGAGCAAGAATGTCCTTGATGCTTCCCCGAGGCTGGAGGTGAGAGATGGCTCGAGTGGGACAGTTGGACCACACCACAAGCCCAGCTCCAAGTGCTGGTGGTGGTAGTGCCGCCTTGACTATGGGGGAGGGACATATCATGGCCGGGGCCATGATTTCTCTCTCAAGTCAAGGCGCTATCTCCTCTGTTCAGTACGTTGTTTGGCCTTGGCCCTCATCTGCGCACATGGCTTTGGCCACGAGACATGATTAACTCCCTCGTCGTGCCCCCCTTTGAGAAGCTTCCCGAGCCTCCGAAGCTACGGAGTGCTTCCCATAAGGCCAGAGGGCTTCTGAGAATTCCTGCCGCCTTCTGAAAAGGCCTTCTCACTGTCCCCGAAGTTGCAACCCCTGGGATGAAATTCAGCATCGGCGCTGGTATACGCGTTGTCGAGACTGGCCGAATCTGGTATTCTCTTGCGTAGCCTGGCCAGTCTCTCATCCTGCCTAATCTTGAGCTTCATCCGGGCTCGTCCGGCTGACTGCCCCCTTGACCAGGTTCAATATTTTTGAAAGGGTTCTGATTGCGGAAATTTCCCTGGAGTTGCTCCTTTTGGTGCGCCGCCGACTTCCCTCGAAATTGCATCTCCTCCACGGGCCTGTTCCAGCGGCTGCGGCGGTCTCCGCGGCTGCTTCAGACCGGGGTGGCTGCATGTCGACCTCGACGTGAGCAACAGGGGTGCCGGTCGTTGTTGAGCGGCTTGAGCCAGAATGGCTGCGAAGGAGGAGGGAGAGGAGAAGGTGGAGGAGGCTCCTCATCCTCGCATACTCTTTGCCCCTGTGGGCCCCTGCTACCTGTTCCTTGATATTTCTATGTGGCTCTCCCTTTTCCAGCTGCGCATGCCCTCGCTGAGTATGTAGGCCACCGTGACTAGGGCCTAAATGGGTTGATATCTGAATCTGCCGCTCTTCAACCCGCAGACGCTACGATCCCAGCCATCGAGGCTCGCCTAACGTCGAACTGCTCCTCTCAGAGCGTGAATTACCTCCCCCGCTTTCGCTTCCAGGCGAAACCAAGTCGTACCGCGCGCCTCCTCGTCAAGCGGCCTGACCAGTACAGGCTGCAGTTTGGCATCGCTTGGTATCTCCTGGAAGCGAGGGTGGTCAAAAGCGAGGGAGGTTTGTTTTCCCCCTATCCTCATCCTGCATGTCCTGCATGTCGGACGAAAGGGGGGGATTGGGAAAGGGGGGGTTACGAAATTTGCTGCATGCAGCTGGTTTCGGCCTCGCCGAGGGGCCCATTCCTCGATACATGGCCGCTCCCGGCGCCGGGAGGCGCCGGGAAAATCAGCGACGTGAGCTGATTCTCAACCCCCCGCTTTGCTATCCCCCCCTTTCGCCCGACCCGATCATCCTGCACGTTCTCCATGGGCCGGGCCAGGTCCCCCCCCCCTCGTGCCAGGACCGCACGCCGTGCTACCCGAGCTGCCCCGAGCTGGTGGACCGCGGCGGGGCGCAGGATGGGGCGCCGCCGCCCCGCCCTGCCTGCGCGGCCCTCTCCGCGGCCTCGCCCTCACGTCTTGCTCTCCTCCCGTCCTCGTTCCTCCTCCCGCTGGGGAGGAGGAGGAGGAGGAATAGGAGGAGGGAATAGGAGGAGGAGGAGGAGGAGGAGGATAAGAGGGAACGGCGTCCTCTCTTATCCTCCCGTCCTCGTTCCTCCTCCCGCTGGGGAGGAGGAGGAGGAATAGGAGGAGGAGGAGGAGGAGGAGGAGGAGGAGGAGAAGGAGGATAAGAGGGAACGGCGTCCTCTCTCATCCTCCTCCGCCTCCCTCCTCATTCTGCCCCTCTGCTCCTCGGCTGCCCCTTCCTCTGCGCCCCTCTTCCTGCATCTCCTCCACCCCCTCCTGCTCCTCCCTCTCCTCTCCTCTCGCCTTTTATCCCCACGTCCTGGGCGCGCCGCCGATCAGATGCCGCCGGTTCCTTCTCCCCCCCTACCCCCTGGCCCCCAGGCTGGCGGCGAGAAGCGGGCGTGCAACAAGAAGGTCCCGGCGCCACGGGCCTCCCGGCGCCGACGGGCAGAGGCAGGGGTCGGCATCCCGAGTTCATGGGGCGGGAGGGGAGGGCTCGGAAAAGGATTGAGTAGGATCGAGGATCGAGGAGGGGGAGGACGTAAGAGGATCGAGGATCGTGGATCAGGGGTAGATGATGACAGAAGATCGAGAACAATGAGCAGCGAGGGGCATTGAGGATTGAGGAGGGTGAGGATCGGGAAGGGTGGAAGAGGATCGAGGAGCATCGAGGAGGATCGAGGAGGTGGAGCACCGTCAGAAATGGCGTAATTAGACGCAACATTCGGAGGCCTGCGAGGAATTCCTGGGGTCGGCCCCCCCGCCCCGTGGCGGCGTCTCCACAGCCGCCCCTAGTGCGCTCGAAGCTCCAGTCGGGAGGGACAAAAGAGTATCGGTGGCACACGCGCCGTGCTTCAAACTGCGCGTGCACACAATCGCCTTTTGAGGTAAATTCCTGGTACCGCTTCGACAGCACTGCGCTGATGGTGTCGTCCGGCCGTCGTGACATTGATGCCGACTTTGCTTTAGGGCTTGGGGGTGGGGACCCCAGGAAATATGTGTGGGCCTCCCGAAGCCTATGCCTATCTCTGAGAAGAATCGAGGACCGAGGAGGATCGAAGATCCAGGATCTAGGAGGAGAATCGAGCATCCAGGAGCATGAGGATCTAGGAGGATCGAAGATCGAGTACGATGCTCATGATTTATTGTTTCTTAGGCAGGGGCTGGGGAGGTCAGGGATTGATGGTATCGGCGTCTTTTTGGTTGCCAACATCTGGCACGCGGAGGACTACACGTCGTGTGGCCGGCGGCTACTTCGAGTCTGGTTCACGGACCACGCCCAGGAAGTCGTAGGTTTTACGTTTTACAAAGCGTTTTTTGTGCAGTTCCGAAGTCGAAAGAGGAATCGACGACATTGTGCAGTTGGTTGCTCCACTGGGCCTGAGCCTGATTCTCGGATGAAGCGCAGGTAGCCGTGGACTTTGCATTTTCAGGGCGTGGTCACCCGCCAGTTCCAGAGGTGCTTTGGGCTGTGCCGAACAGCGGCACTTCAATGGGTACCTATATACGTGTACCTTGGGAACCCGCCGGAACTTTTTGCTTCAGGGTCTCTCTGACGTATTGACGTGTTCCGCATTGGGAAGGGTTGGGTTCGTGGGGTCTTTGGCCAAGGTGCTCGTAAGGGTCTGGAGTCCCCGTCAGGGGGACATTGGGCCGAATGAGGATCCATAGCTAGGAGGCGGGCACGATATGGACACGTGCGTGGCCGCAGCCCCCAGGCGTTCCCATGAAGGTCAGAGCCCGTCTGCCGTGCGAAGTGTGCGCCCTCCTTGTCTTCCTCGTCGTCGTCGTCCTCGTCTTCCTCGTCCTGTTCCTCCTGGAGGCCCCCCCCCCTCGAATAACAAATGACGTCGTGAAGCTGATTTCTCGCAGGTCCGCGCGGATATCTTGCATCGGCCTTGGACACCCTTGGCGGCGCCTCTGCCAGGGATGGGTGCCCAGCGCCAAATCCGTACGAACTTCAAAGAAATTATGCTGATGTACTTTGTTGCCTCTACCCTCTTCCACGTCCCAGCCAAACAACCTTCATTTCGCCCCACGTTCAGACGAAAGGAGAGCTACACCACCACCACAAGGGGTGCCATCGCGAGCCGGAAGGTCCACGATGACTTCCCGAGCTGAGGATGGGAATGCTTCGACCTGGGAGGGGGGTGGGGCACACCACCAGGATAACCCCCCACCCCCCACCCCTGGTGCATTGCGCTGGGGGTGGTGGTCCTTCACGTTGTCCTGTCGCGTCCCGACCATCCAGCCTCCTCATCATCCTCATCGTCCTCCTCCTGCCGTGTCCCGCGCGGCGGATGCAACGAATGGCCCGGCGGTCCACGGCCGCGATGGGGGCATTTCCTTTCTCCACACTTTCCTGCCAGCCGGGAGATCGCCGGTCGAGGATAAGCAACATGCGTAAACATCAATCTTATATTTCGGAGCTCCGCGCAGCTGTCTTGGTTCGGCGCCTGGGGCCCCCTGGCTGCACCTCCAACGCCGCCCCTTGCGCGCTCCGCGCGCCAGGGAGGGGGTTGACCAGCGCGATCCAAGAAGTCCGCGCGGACCTCCGAGAACTTAGGTTTATGCCATGTCTTGTAGTGGAGGGGAGGGGGAGTGGTACCGTTAGGGGGGATCGGCCCAGTGGGGACGCATCGACCCCCCATCGCCCATAGATCGCCGATGGGCCAGTAGGGGCCCGATAGCCCAGCCCTCCCAAGAAGGTGCCAGCCGCTGTTGGTTTTACAGGGCGATGCTCCCCCCGCCTGAGCCAGCCCCACCCCCCCATCGGTCCCCCTCAGTGCGAAGGGGGAGGGGGGAAGCACAGAGGGAGAGGGAATCGAAGAGGGGTGAAGGGAGAGAGAAGGGAGAGAGGGAGGGGGAATGCAAGGAGGGAGAGGGAAGGGAAGAGGGTTGAAAGGAAGGGAACGCAAGGAGGGAGGGAAGGCAACGACGGGAGAGGGGACGGGAGAGGGGTGAATGGAGGAGGGGTGAATGGGACGAGGGATGGAGGGGTGATCGGAGGAGGGCCAGTCGAGGCAGCGTCGGCCCTCCCTGGCATGGTTCGTCCCATGTGGACCTCGTGGTGGCTTTCGCGTCGCCGCGCCTGGGCCCGCCTCGGGAGTCTGAACTGGATGAGGGGGAGAAGGAGGGAGGAGGAGGATGACTTTGCGCGGGCTGGGGCTGGGCGGGGGAGGCGTCGTGGTCTCCACTCGGCCCTCCTCCGAGAGCGGGGTGAGGGGAGGAACCAGGCTCGGGTAGCGGTGAGAGGAACGCGGCAGGCCAGGGAGGGCCCCGGGGGGGAGGAGGGGGAGGAGGAAGAATGGGGAGGAGGAGGGTTGGGGACGACAGTTCGGAGTAGGATGAAGCGAGGCGGGAAGCGGGAGGAGTGAGGATGCAAGGGGCAGGAAGGAGGCGAGGGAGCACGTTGGGAGGGAGGACGGTGGACGGCGAATGTGGCACCGCGGCAGATACGCACGCACTTGCAGGGTGCCTGGGGTATGTCCGCCCGATGTGTCTTCGTGTGCTGTTCAAGAGGCTGGCGCCATCCCGCCGTCCCCCGGAAGAGATGTGTGGCGTCCGATCGTTTCCCGTAGTGTTGCTTTCGTGCAGTTGCCGCTGATCTGGCCTTCTCTTCATCCGAGTCTGTTTTGGGACTTCGTGGAGGCCTCGTCGAGGCCTAGGGTCTACGTTTGTTGTCTTATCCTGCATCGTTCTCTGCGCCCTGCTTGTCCTCGTTGAAGATTCCCCTCATCCCGCCCTCGCCGTCTGCTATCCTCCCTCTTCCTCCACCATCACGACTCGTCTTCATCCTTCGTGCCCATTTCCCTCTCCCCTCGCCTTCGTCCCTCGCTTTCCGCCTTTCCCCCCGCCCACCTTCCATCCCCCATGCCACCTTAACATCAGCCGCCTCTTCCGCCTCACCCCCCACTCCCCCCCCTCACCCCCTCGCCTCCTCCTCCGAGGCCTCAGGGAGGACAAGGGAGGAGACAGAGGAGTAAGGGATGGAGTATGAACAAGAGGAGGAGGGGTATATAATATATTCGGTAGAAGAGAGGAGGGCGGAACACTAAGAGATGGAGGAATGGACCGATGGATGATAGGGGGGGAGAGAGAGAGAGAGAGGGAAGGAGCGGGGGAGGGAGGGGTGCGTAGCTGCAGAGCGTATGAGTAAGGTCACCGAGCAGGGCTTCGAGTGCTTCACCTGCGCCGCGGGACACCAGTGCAGGCAGCCGGTGTGGAGGCCTGCGCTGATCGCGATTGTGCTGTGGCAACTCGAATAGCTTGTTTGGAATGGGCCCAGATCTCGAATCGGCCATTCGTCGTTGGTCCCCGCCGCCCGACCCCCAAAAGGCTTGGCGATTTGGGGGCCATTTTGTTTCGTTGTCTCTATATGTATCCCCGTCTCTATCCCTATCTCGATCCTTGTAGCCCTGTCTCTATCATTATCTCTATACATGTTCATCTCTTGCATCCGTACCACCATCCTTGGTATTTCCACCTCTACCCTGTATCCCTTTCCCATATTCCCATCCCTATCCCGGAATTCCTATTGCTAGATCCCTGGGTAGATATCCCTACCCTTATCCCTATCCCGGTCGCCGAATCGTGGCCCCTCATTATGGCCCTCATCGCAACTGTTTGGCGCGGCTTCGGCCTTCTGCCACAAGGATGGCATTGATGTGCAATGTTGTGTCCCGCTCTTCTTGCTCGTCGTCGTCCTCTTAGTTCTCCCCTCCTGTCGTTCCCCCTCTCAAAGGCGACACAGTCACCCCGCCCCTCGTCGCCACGGCTGGATTCGCCTTCTAGCCCTGGTCAGAACGCTTTCCTTGAGAGGTCCAGGGAGCAGGGGCATCGGCCTCCAGGATCGATGTGCTCGGACAGTTGACGCTTCCGTTGGCGTCCTTTCTATCTTCGGGAGGCGTCAGCAGGCCTCTGGAGGCCTGGGCGCAATAATGAGTCTGCTCCAGAGGGCCCCCCCAGCGCTCCTCTCTCTCTCTATCTTTCTCTCTCTCTCTCTCTCTCTCATTTGCGGCCGCTGACGCTCACAGCGTGCTCGATCTGGGGTTCCCTAGGCCGTCCTTTTCACTGCTGTGTGTTGTCAGTGTCACCCTGTCTGCGCGGCCGTGGGGCGCTGGAGGTACTTCTCCCCCTGCGGTGACTGTTGCACTGAGGGCCGCACTTCTGTCGCGGGCGTCGGGCACGGGGGTGGTCTTGGTCTAGCCAGACTACCTCGGCCGCTGCCCGTCCCCCCTTTTGCCCAGCAGCCGTTGTCGTCATGTATAACTGACGGAGGCCCTGTTGGTCGGGGGTGGACAGACCTCCTACCCTGACACGTCGATTATGGAATTGGCCGTTTTCCGTTCGCGAGAGGGCGTCGCGGCCGTCATTTTTGCGGGTCCAGGTCCGCCGGTTTCGGTCCCAGGTCGTTTACATTCAAGGGGAGGTTTGTTAAAGTGAGGTTTGTCCACCGCCGAGTTGGCGGTGTCTGAGCCGAGGGTCGAACCGTGCGGGGAGGGGGCCATAGCGGGCGCTCCGAAAAGGAACTCGCGAAGCACCCTCCCCAAAGCCGCGCTCGCCGAGGCGAGGTGGCGCTTTTGAAGCCGGTCTTCGTGACAAGCGGGGTTTGGCGAGGCAGCGTCCTTGCCTGGTCCTCCCCTTTGGGCGAGAGAGTCTCGCCCAGGGGCCCATCGCGCGGGTGGCGCAACGTCGATGGCTGCGCGAGCAAGGTGGCGGAGAGGGGCCATCTGGAGTGCGGGTGTCCAAAACATATACATATCACTCTCGCTCGCTCTCTCTCTCTCTCTCTCTCTCTCGCTCGTTCCCTCCCTCTCATTCTTCGTTTCTCTCTCTCTCTCTCTCTCTTCCGTCTGGCCTTCTGTCCATTCTGACCTCCCCGTCTGGCCCCCTTTCGCGGGCAGTGAACCTTCCCACCTGTCCTCCTCGAGTCGCCCCCGTGAACCAGGGGCGCGTTATGATAATCATGGCCCGGCGGATCCAGCCATGGCCACGGCGACGCTCCAGGAGGCTGAAAGAAGACTGGAGCCGTTCAAGAATCTCGCCCGTCGATTCTCCCTTCCCGGGTCCCCCGATCTTCTTCTTCATACTCCAAGGCCCCCCCGAAGTCTTAGGCTGAGAGGGCCGATCCTGATGCGCTGCCAGCAGAGACCAGGGACTATGACGGGGTCCATTCGTTCGTTCCACCTCTTCACCCGCACCCTCACCCTCGTCCTCATCCTCCTCCTCGTCATTCCCTTTTTTTTTTTGCGGGTCCCCCCCCCGCCCCCGCGGAGAGGTACATGATCAGGCTGAAATTCACGGACCACACAGACTCAATCGAGGCGCGCGGTGGGGACACGCTGCTGGCCGGGGTCCGGCGCCCCTGGGGCCGTGCTGGCGTCGGAAAGGCGGTCGTGCCGGCCCGCCTGGAGCTTCGAAGGTGGATGCTGGGGGACCCATGTTTTCAATAGGTGTTGCTCCCCATACCTCGGGGATTCCTGGGGCCTCCAGGCGTTTTTTATTTTTGTTCTTGTGCTTCTTCTTCTTCTTTTCTTTTTTTCGCCCCCCCCCAGAGGTTGGGATTTGACACATCCATCGCCTGCGGGGGCGATTTTCCTGGAGTTCGGGAGACGGTGGACATGGACTAATTCCGTCCACCCCGGGGCCCGATATATCCCCCAATACACTGAAACCTGATGTCGTGGGAAATCGTTTCCCTAGGCGGTGGGTGCATATATGCTCTAGC